ATTTTATGGACGGCTTCTCAGTTTGACTATGCTTTCGCAGCAGGCAACGAAACCAACACATTTCTCAAAAATTGAGATTATTTTCTTTCAGCTGTCCAAAATTGATGGGTCGGTGGTTTCGTTTAACTCCGGTGAAAGTATTGTGCCCTTCGTCCACACTCAGAATTCAACAGGCTGGCTTCTTACTAACAGTAAGAAAACTGCGCACGAAGTTAGCATTTTTCTGCACTATTCTAAGGGTAATATTTCTCAATAAAAGAGCAACTTTCCCTCCATCCAGTACAACCAACTCCTGCCCATCTCGCATCCAACTAGACCTGACTCAAAAGAACCATGGAAAGTATGAATTGTACACGTGGAAATATATTTATTTTGTGATAGTATACTGAAAAATTTGTTTTTGAAGTTAGACAGATTATAACGGTCACATTACGCCTTTTGTTAATTGGTTTTACGTGGTGCAGTTCAAGAAAATATTTGCATGAAAACTAACGCAGGAATCGGCCACAGAGCCCATTTTTGTTTAAACTTGGGAGAAACAAAAATAGAGCAGGGGAACCTAGTAAAATTGTAATTTGCGTATAAATGTCCAGCAGGTGTGTCAGAAAAAAGCCAAAACGTGGCATTCTTTGGGTGGCAATGTGCATATAACAATATTTGGGTTAGTCCAAAATTAACGCTTGTGTTTTATTGATGTAATCTACCCCCAGGGAACTTTGGAGGGGGCAGAACAGTCCAAAGAACCTTTCACTCATCCTGCAGGAAAACTGTTAAGTGTCAAAACGCAGGTCTGATCAGTTTAGAATACTTTGTTATGATCTATTTACTTACAGGTAGTGATATATTTGTTGGAACTTATTTGATGGAAGTAGCCGGTAAGCCAACAAGACCAGCCATCTCCAAGTCAGTACTGCAATCGGACTCCTCTCAGAATGTGATGAGTATAAGTGTGACTTTAATGAGTAAAGACGACGTCAACGTATTAAATGGTAGGTGTAGTTCCGTTAGCCTGATAATAAAAGACATGTTTTGAACTTCTTTACCTTGCTGTAATCAAACAATTATCTGACATCTCTCTCTGGTTACTCTATTATAAGTTCACTTTGACAAAAAGAAAAAAAAAACAAGCTGTGATTTTTTATACTGAAGTCTGTTGTTGCTATGATGCATTTGCAAATTTTGCATTCTCAATTGTGATCTCAGGACTTTGCTTACAGAAACTTTTTGCACGGAAACCTTGTTCGTTGTCAAAAACTATTAAAAACAAAATACCCGGTAAGTTCTGCTGTGGAAAATAGCCGCATTACTAAGAATTCAGCCTAAAATTACAATACACTTGCTCACGTGCCATTTCGCCTTTAATAAGCATAAAGTATCAAAGTTACCAACGTTTCAAACTAAACGAATTCAGTGCCAAACTAATTTAGTGACTTCACCTACTGACTTGAGGGGGTCATGGAGTTATTTTGCTCGTTCGAAAAGTCTGTGCCCCCTGAAAAACGACACACCCATAGATTGTCTCCCAAAAAAGCAAATGGGAAATGGATATAGGTGGCTCAGGAACTCGGAAAAGTTGCATTTCTTCACACACGCCTGGGGTTAGAGTTGATTTTAGCTTTGCAATGTTAGCAACGTACCTCAGAAACTCATTAATTAAAATTTCACGGATAAACTCAATTTTACCACCACCCCATTTTGTTTTTGATAAGCCCTTTACTGGGACCGTTATTACCAACATACGCGAACCGTTCACCACGTTCAGTACTTTTAGTTCTAACATACCGCCATGGTTAACAAGGAGATGGCTTTGAAGGGCCATTTTGAAATTATTCAGCTGTTGAGATTGGCATTTGCGATCATATTTTTTCGTAAACAGGTCCACAGTTTGTTGGAGACCCGATCAGCTACAATGGACGCGTCTACTTCTTTTACCGCGAGGTTGCTTCCGAGTTTATCGAAGGGAAAGCTGTGTATTCAAGAGTTGCAGTCATATGCGAGGTAGGATCGGCAGTGATAGTTATTATTTGACTGATCCCTTCTTTCGTCCTCTTTCCTTTCATCTCTCATCCTTTCAAATTCATAAGAGAATATTATTATTTCCTCTCTAAACAGAATGATAAAGGGGGGCGAGAATTCACGGCCCTCAAACCCACAGACATCGTAACCTTTGTCAAGGCGCGGCTGGAATGCTCAACGGGTACAACGTTCCCATACTTCTACAACGAAATACGTAAGTCTCATGAGGTTTTTCCAATCAGTAAGTTTAAAAACAATCAAACGCAATGTTCGTATTCCTGAGGCAGCTATATTGACAGTTTCCTTAACATCTTTTACACATGCATGATTTTAATGCCAAATAAATATATGTCCAATGTGTATATCATTTTTGCGGATCCAAAAGAGAAAATGGGGCCATTGTTCGTATTCTAAAATTAGTTGTGTTTTTCAGTACTTAAAAAATAGTAATGACATTGTTGACACTGCACGCCTTACCCTAAGCAAAGGATTGATGTCATCCGAAACACTAAACTTCGACGTTGCATTGACTTGTGGGGACAAAAGAAGTGATGGAGGTGTTTGTATTTAATACAGTCAATGTCCATTTCTTTGACAATTTATTCTTGTGTAATTCATAGTACAATAAGCCAGCCAGCAACCTTTTCTCAAAATGTTTTCAAACAGCAAATTTAGGGTTCGTAATTTTTACACGAAAACATGTAAACTGAATCGTGCCTCCCCGGACTTACATCACATCAACAGCGGCCTCACTAGTTTGGATGATTTTGGATAATTGTTAATGTTCAGACAAGTACACCTTTCAGGACAGTTAATTCCAAAAGGATTTCAAGCAGTTTTCATACATTGAAGAATACGAAGATGCACAAAATGTGAGTCTAAGAAAAACTGATTCCATAGCTAAAGGGAATGTAATTAATGTGGAAAGCTGCCCGCATTTTAATAGTCGTGAGTGACGCACGCCCTCAGCCCTCTGCCTTTATGTTTAGCTCGTCTAGCTGAGCCTGCTGTGTCCCCCCCGGCTGACGCTATAATGAAGGGAAGCTGCGACCATGTCAAGATCCCTGCCGCAGATTTCGCCTGTTCTGAGGAACAGGCCTGCAGTGGTCCAACAGAACATTGTTCCGGGACTGAAAACCCGTGGTGTTTTTCTTTCGACCCATCAACGAATTGTCGAAATAATAATTTACTCCAACTTTCACTCATTGCCCAGCGCCCGAACAAGGCGCTCATCGAACAGGGCGCTGGGAAAGGCTTATGGCTTTGCGCTGTGATTGGCTTTATTATGCACGACCTGTGACCACGAGGTTAGCACTTCCTGTTAGCAAGCGTTATTTAATATTTTTTTGGTTCGGGCAAAGTCTCCGCTACAGTAAAAACATGGCCTCGGAACAATCACAGTGTAGTAATTTATCTTATCACAAAGTATCACTAGTCACGTGTCTTTTGGCGATATATTTCAGATCATTGGTTATCTTGGCCAATTTTGATGGACGAAAACAGTGTAGTGAGAATATTTTCAGCAGTGAGGAAGAAAAAATAGCGCATTGATAACCGCCGCTGGTGTCGGGCATTGAGAGAGCTCGCGCACCTGGCAGAAATTTACCCACAATGCTCTGCACGTCGTTAGCTGTGACCATGTGTGACGTCTTTCCTTCACTAAAATCTGTGCAGGGCCAACAGCCCTTCCCAGCGCCTGTTTGGGCACTGGGCAGTCAGCAAAACTCCAACGGTGATCTTATTGTGTCGTTCAATCCATCCCTTACCGGGAGAACCCGAGTCTCCACCCTGCGGAGACTCAGTTTCCGCCCCCAGTCATCGCTCAAGCGCTACCACTACAAGAAAATTACACCTACATTTTCCAGGCCGTTTGAATTAATTGACCATCATTAACAACATCGTTAATGATAATAGTATTGTTTTGTTATTTTTTTCGTCAACAGGGGACATTTACCACTCCAACGGCGTAGTATTTGCAGTTTTTGCCACACGGCCGTAAGTGAAATAAATTATTGATAAGGTTTAAATAACGTAATATGGGATTGTGCTATACCTGGAACGATAAACTCAAGCAGGACTAGAGGAGATAGTATTTGTATTCCTTGGATTCTTACCATCCAAAGCGGATCTGGATGGTGGAAATAAAGATTTACAACGATCATTCTTCGGGAGATCCTTGGCAAAACTGAGGCAGTCCAACTCTCACCTAGAGTAAAAGGGGTTGAAATGTAACTGTTTAAGGACAAATTCATGCGAGAGATAGTTTTTGCTAATATTACCCTGCAAGCTCTTTTCCAAATATTTGAATACTACACTCAAAAAAGTCAAGGTCAGATAGACCCAGAATTGGGTCCCATTCGGTATGACCCCTTTCTGGGTCAAAATAGACCCTTTTTAGGTCATAATTTGACCCGGAAAAGGGTTATACCGAATGGGACCCAATTCTGGGTCAATCTGATCCGGACGTTTTTAGAGTGTACTGAATTGATTTGCAGTCAGTCCTGAATGAATGCCATACAACATCGGCATTCTCCAATACCGGTCTCACGTAACCGCTATAAATAGCTCGTAACTTCTCATTACTAAATCCAAACCGCTTCAGTAATCTCAGCGTTAACAAATTTCTACTTGATTTCGGTCAAGGATTTTCAAAATAGGTGTTTCACCAATCATTTTGAAAATATAAGCAAAGGACTATGAATTTAGAAACCTTTTTAACAAATTGGAACCACTGGCGAAGGTTGGAATGCTTCAAATTTTAACACTATTTGCATGGTAACATGTCTTGGCAGTTATAATTTCCGTAATAAACCAAATTGTCAGCTTACACCAAAGAGGAGATTTTGTCAAGAAATGTTGGCGTTCACGAATAAGCTGTTTAAAATTACGAGTCATCAAGGATGTCAGTGACACGCAGCTTGGTTTGTTTAAAGGGGAAAACGAATCCAACGACGGGCGCAAGCAAATTATAAAAGGCATTGGCTTTAGCCTGCGTACCCTTACACCTTAATGAAGACCTCATTCCAATCCTGGCCCTACACCCAAGACCCTAACGCACGAACACAGGAGTCAGGTAACAGACGTAACAGACCTTAAACGACTTATAGACTTCATTAAATTTCTTAGGTTTCCACAAAATACTAATACGATCACTTTGACCTATTGGTGAAAACGGAATCGGTCTATCATAAAAACTATAAACAATATGATTGGTAATCACTAAATCATGGCATTGGCTGTGGTATGGAACGCTATTATCTGCGAAAAATCATTTCCCCTCATAATGGGCCATACATTCTTTTTGATTAAAATCTCCTAAAATCATTAAAGCCAGCATCAGGATGGTTGACACGTGAATTGTCAGAATTGATGACATTTCAACAACTGTTGATTAGGTGATTCAGGTAAATAGAAAGTAGGTTTGAGGTAGCACCATGGAGGTATCTCTTTTGTGAGTATTTGCGGTTCTGAAAAGAAC